CCAGGGAAACTTCTGGATACCATTTTCTTCCTGCCACTTTTGGATGTTTCTAGCAGTGTGACACGGTGCTCCATCTTCCTGGAACAATGTTGTGTTCTTGTCCACGAAACCCGAGAAATAAAGTGGCAAGAGTCCTTCCTACAATATTTCGACGTATTTGGCAAAATTTATGTTGCCAACGCACTCCACTAAGCTCGATCTTCCCAAACCATCACGCTGAAAACACCATGCTTCATAGTTGGCTGCAATCTGTTGAGCCAAAACTCTTGGTGAGCCATTCTCCAGACCCGCATCCTTCCACAGTCCGAAAATTGAGCGAATCTTGATTCGTCTGAGAACAATACGGTCTTCCAAAAGTCTAGAGGCTTGGTCATCATATCACTTGCCCACTTCTTTCGTCTGACTATGTTGGCGGGTGTTAATAAGGGCTTCCGTCTAGCTGCTCTGCAACGATAACCCAATCTGTGGAGAATCCGTTGAACAGATTTCGGGCTCATCCCACCAACTTTGGCCACTTCTGCAGTCGTTAATCTGAGATCCATTTCGATTCTCCTCTTGACAGCCCTTTTTGTCCTCTCCAATGGACCAGGACGACCCGCACGCTGCTCAGTTGTTTCCTTGCCATGTTTCCTGAACTGAACGATGATTCTGTTGACTGTCGAAAGCGGGATTCCCAAATTCTGCGAAATTTGCCGCTGACTTATTCCACCATCTGCTTGACCAACTATCCTTCCTCTAACAAAATCTGACAATTCGAGAGAACCTTGAGTTCTAGGCATGTTGTAGTATAAGATAATTATTGTGGGGACCATTTTCATTTATGTAGTGCTCTGTGAACACAAATTAGTTAGCATAAATCATTTAAATGACGACAAATTAGGTGTCTATTTACTTGTGACCACTCAGTGTATATTATGTAACTTATGTCCTGATCAGAATCACCACATGAGAAAAATCAACTGATCCGTTTGAAATATCGGACTATGATAATCAGTTTTCTTAGAATGACGAGTTCTGTTGTTTCAATATTAGATATGTCGTCAGAATTGATTATTAAGTTCTGGCAAACTTTATTGATGTTAAAAATCAACTTCATAATATTTTAGAGTTTGAATCTTTATTATCGTTTTTGAACAAGAACGATGACACTGTTTTTGTGATCTGTGTTCAGCAGGGTCGTTTCCTTGCTTCCTTACCAGTTATATATGTTTGGTTCATTATCATAAGTTATCGGTTGTTTCTAACCAACTGTAATTTAGGACTCACTGCTCGTTAAGGACGGGATTAACACAGGTAGTACAAATCCTACTGACAACACCTGTGGTTCCTCTTGTGCTATCCAATTTAATTATTTCAAGAGATTATATTAGTTTTCCAGACACATTGCAATACATTGGTCGCATATAAGCCACGAGGGCAGGTTGATTAGTTAGCTGCATCTTAGGTGTTTATTGAAACGGGTTTAAAGAATACAAATAAATAACTAAAAAGACAAAATATAGTTAGTCATGCGGTCGCTAGGGGAATACGAGCTTACTGAACACGTGTTTAATACGTACTAAGAGACCCGTGATGATTAATAATTATTTTCATTACTACGTGATATTAAATTTGTGGTGTGTAAGAATACCTTATTATATGTATATAGCGTAGTTCAAATTTCGTGACGTCATAAAATACAACAGCTCCACACTGAGGAGATGATCGCTAGGAAACAAAAAATCTTTGACAAATTCAGTTAAAATGTTGCTTTATGAGCCTTTCAGAAGACGAGCTCAGAGAAAGCAAGTCTCATGCCAAGACCCTTATTTCATAATGCACAATGTAATATATGTTTTAATATTGTGGCGTTAAGTACACAGTATGATTTGTTTTACTTACATCCTGTATATTGTCAAAAATACGTATAGTTAAAGTGTAATCAAAAACATTGTCAAAGATACGTAGAGTTAAAGTGTATTATTCATTACAACGTATTCCAGCAGCAAAAAATTATGCTTGCTCGTGCTTTTACATGCTCATTATATTCGGAAAAACACACGTACTCTGAACAAAACTTTTGTTATCTGTAAACTATTTTTTATTTGAAAAATCTGATGTAAAGATAATTGCTTATTTATTATGAAACAATGCTAACATAATACGTTATACATCGATTTTTTTAGACTTTTTTAGCGTATCAACTGGACGTGTTTCCTTTACTTGCCTTATTTATATGAGGACTAAATCAACATAAAGCAGTGGTTCTCACAAGATTTTGTTCGCGAACCATCTGATTTCACGTTCGTTTAGTCAAAAACGGCTAATTCTAATAAACTTAAAAGGTTGTAAATATATATTTTTTCATTTATCTTAGTGAATTGCAAGAAATTATGAAATACTGCTTCTTTAAAAGATTTTCTTTGCTTTGCAGATACCCTGTTTACTAGATTAGAACCATGAAGGCAACACTACTATTACTCTTGTTTTCTACCTTTACCATCACAGGCTCAGCCAGGAGAGGAGGTAAGTTAGGTGTGGTTTGAACTTTTTTTATTGTTATTGTTCTTTGAATTCGATTAACTTACTGGAAGTAAGTTCTGCTGTGGTGAAGGAAAATTAAATACACGTTATATCTAGTGTCTTACGTTCACGCAGTTCTTAAATATCACAATATATTTCCCGCACTTTAAGCTGTGAGCGCATTATAAGAGTGACAGTCAATCCCTTAGTAGGAGCTGCTGACTGGATGATTTTCACTTGATCAGTAAGTTTAAAATTTAGGGACGGTATAGATAGCCTTATTAGCTTTAACAAGTATAAATAAGTAGATTAACATTTTATTTTCTGATATTTTCATTACCACACTAATACTCCTAGCGCGTTATTGGTGATAACCAGGAGACTTATATTTGGTTTATGTGTATTAAAAATGATATGAACCGAATTTTGACAACGGTGAGAGTTCACGGTACATCTATATAATAAGATTTAATGTTTGTATGTGTATGTGTGTGTGTGTGTGTGTGTCACGTAACTCCTCCTAAACCGCTGATCCCACCGACTTCTAAGTAGTACCAAACACATCGTCTCGGTCCCGTGGTTTGCACAAAGATGAAAATTTCCCGAAAACCCTTTCCACTGAACTGCTGGTCTCACCAACTTCTAAGTGATACCAAACGAATCGTCTCGGCCCCAAAGTTTGTACAAAGGTAAAACTTTCCCCCCAATCTCTTAGGAAACCTGGGTATTTTAGGAAAACACTTTTTTTGAGGGGATTCCCTGAAAGCAGACCCAAATTTGACATTAATTTATATTAGAGCACGTAAATAAATAGGCCTACTAATTACCGTTCGTAATAAAGAAATTAAATTTGTATTATAGCGGCAATGATCATTAAACTGAAAAAGCGCAAAACAGTAGTTCAAACATTAAATTTGCATTATAGCAGCTCTGTTAATGTGGGCCATAGACCAATGGGTCCGCTAGTTTTAAATAATTATTTAGTGAGATAGATAGATATATATTGATTTCAATGTGACAGATATAAAGTCACGTTTACTTCAAGAATAAGTAAAAACGTTGTCATTAGTGAGTGTGTTGGCTGTGATGTAAACAATGTTGTCAATGAACGAAATACAAACATCATTTACTAAAATAAACATTTGTTTGCAAAGTAATTATTAATAGAATGTAGTTTTGGTCATCAGATGGCCGTGAAATGTCGTAATTACAATTTTTTTAGTTGTCTCACGAAAAACAAAAAAGACATATTTTCGGAGAAATATTTGTTTTCTGTTTCAGACATTTGCACAAAGCTGCGAAAGGTCATATCACTTCCTAATAGTGAAATGATAGGCTAGAGAGGATGAGACATACATTCAACAGCATCCATCACCAATTCTTGGGCGTCGCTAACCGAATGGTGGGATTTAACCGTAACTCTTATAGCGCATCCACAGCCCCAAAGTACATGGCAAGATTTTGCAGCAACAGATGGGGAGAAAGGGGGGGGGGGCAGGAGGATAAAACGTTCGCATTGAAATACAGAAGATGTTTACACTTTAATCTATTTTCGTTAGTTATTGAGTTCTTAGAGGGATATTTATTTTTAAGTGAATAATATTTTATAAAATCATATCAATTTGGTCATGAAATGCAGCTTGATTTACGACATGTTCCAATTTTATTGGGGCATAATACCTGTTTTTATATTCCATATGCTTGTTAGTCTTCTACGTTACGTAAAAGAAAGTCACAACTATAGTACATAATTTAAATCATTTATTTTGATTTTTTGTGTAGTTTTCAGTTCAATGACTATAGAATGGAGTGTTGAATAGTTAAAATACATATTGTAAATTCTTACTTGTAAGGTTTTATTTTTTTAAATTAGAAAATAGGGGTTTGTGTTTTAAATAATAAAACTTGACTGAGACATGTGCTGTTCTCGCATGAACTTTCGTGGTCTACGTGATTGTGCGAGGTTTCGAAGAGTTATGTCTTTGACTTAATTTGTTAGTTTTTCAGATATTCGCGCAAAGCTACTCAAGCTAGCCGTCCCTCATTTTGAACTGATAGACTAGAGGGAATGCAGCTAGTCAACAGAACCCACCGCTAATTCTTGGTCTACTCTTGTTTCACAGGATAATGAGACTTGACCATCAGTCTTATAGCTCAGAAAAGGCCCAAGATGCGGAGCACAGTTTTTGGTTTTCTAACGGTAACGAGACCCACAGTCCTGCACGCTAACCCTCGGCCATGTTCTTCCCCTATGCAAAACTACTCGAGGGCTATTTGCGATAGCCATTCCTAATTCAGAAGTAATACAATAGAGGGAAGGCAACCAGTCAACACCACCCATCACTAACTCTTGGGCTATTCTCTATGGAATGGGTTGCCTTCGGATGTTGTAGAGGCAGTAATTTTCAATGAGTTTAAGAAAAAGCTTGATAAGTATATGAATGATAAGGGCTGGTTTTAAGATTATTTTTAAAATTATTTTAATTTAGTTTAGAGGATGAAACAGCCGAGATGGACTAGTAGGTCCCATGTTGTCCCAAAATGTTATGTTATTCTAATCAAATAGTCGGATTGACCGTCATATTATAACGTTCCCTCGGCTGAAATGGCGAGCACGTTCGGTGATGGGATTCGAACCCATGACCTGCTAATTGTGTGACGACCACCCTACCAAATAGGTCATGCTAGACCCTACACATATGATAAAATTAGCTTATATAATTAATTTATATCAGAGTTTGTTTGTTTTTAATTATGCACAAAGCTACACAAGGGCTATCTGTGCTCTGCCCACCATAGATATCGAAACCCAGATTCTAGCGTTGTAAGTCCGCAGACATACCGCTGTGCTACTGGGGGGCTCTATCAGAGTAAGAACATTTGTTTTAGAATACCGAACATATGCTCAATTGGACATAACTGTAACTGTGATTTTTGTCAGTTAAGTTCTGACCTCTGGAAGCGCTTTAAACAAGCACGTAGATTTTTGGTTTCCTTTAGTTAGTGAATTGTAATACTGATTACCAAATAAATTCTTCTGAAAACTCAATGTGAAATTTTTATCTGTAAACATTCGCAGAAATATGTTGTCCCCGCAATGACAAGAAGATAGCAGAAAATTAATGAAGGTCAGCTTACTTGATTAAGAAAGAAATAGTAATTGTAGTGGCTACACAATATGGAACAGAATTCCTTGAAGTCCTGGAAAATATATCAAAAAATTTCAATATTTCAAATCTTGGAAAAAAACGTTCATGGTTCTGTAAAAGTTCTGAAATGTTAGTTTTAATAGAGATCCCCCATGAAATGATTGGTTTAATTTTAAAAAATAATCAAAAAGTTTGGTTATCGAGACTGAGCTTCTGAACCTTGCTCCTCGCGAGACCTGAGTCTTATAATCAAAAATGCAAGTTTATTTCCTCATGGGAGGATTCGAAAGCCCTGGAAATTTGAGATGGATCTTGGAAAAACTACTGGAAAGTCCTGGAACTTTTTATAAAATCTGTATGATCCTGTAGAAATATTGGACTTGTTTAGAATTTCACTAAACAAACACCAGAGCTTGCAGTAATTCAGATCAATCATATTTATTCATGCAATTGTCTCCCACTGACATACAATCCACATTACACGATCTTACACTTCTGTATAACTCATACATATTTTTGTCAACATCAGGACACAACTGTGACACTCCACACTAAAAACGTTCTCTCCTTTGCCGCTAACTTAAAGACACGAAGACTGGCGTTCAATGGACTGCATGAGACAAATCTCAAGACATTTAAGTAATTAATATACAAAGAAAACGTTGTTTTCTAGTCTTCACTAATCACATCAAAGTTGGTTTCATAATGATCACTAGTATAAAACAGTCAACTTCCACGCCGCTACAATCAAACAAGTCACAATTTGTCGTAACCAGGAAAAATGCAAGTACTAGTTAAAATAAGTCAAGAGTGAACATCTAATTGTAACATCTAAACGTAGGTAAATTAATACGTAGAATTATAAACGGGCTTTTCTCTACTTTAAAATACTTTTATTGCGAGCCTTCGGCCCTCTTACCGGAGCCGATGAAGCTCGCAATAAAAGTATTTTAACAAAAAGAAAAGTCCGTTTATAATTCTATATAGTGAACATCTAACCTAAATCCTACCAGTATCACATTAGAAATAGAGTTATAGAAGGGTAGGATTAATACTTTAACAATATTATATCAGCCGGTTGCTATAAACATAATATGAAATTAGTTTTAACGAATCATTAGCCATTATTAATACTTGAACAATATTATATCAGCCGGTTGCTATAAACATAATATGAAATTCGTTTTAATGAATCATTAGCCATTATTGATACTTGAACAGTATTATATCAGCCGGTTGTTATAAACATAATATGAAATTAGTTTTAACGAATCATTAGCCATTATTAATACTTGAACAATATTATATCAGCCGGTTGTTATAAACATAATATGAAATTAGTTTTAACGAATCATTAGCCATTATTGCGAGAGAAAATATGCAATTATGTACATTTTATACTTTTGAATTGTTTCAAAATTATCTCATAAATTTTCTTAGCTTGGTTTGGGATACTGTTATTGATGGCAAAATAAGATGTTTAAGAAATATACTCACACATCCGAAACTTTGAGATTGATCATTTTTGTTCCAGAGCCGATGTTAGCACTTAAAAGTTCATTCCTGTTTTGAAAACTTTTCTGAATCAATAACATGATTCTGTTAAGTATTAGAAGAAAAATTACAGTTCTACTGTCATCTTAACACCTGCGGCGATAACACGCGATAAAAGCATCTGTTGTGTGTAGAAAATACGTTTCTAATATATTTATCCATTTATACCTATAGGACACTCTGCCTTGAATATTTCTGTTTTATAGGTTATTTAGGTAAAATATTTACATAGAAACTTAAATATCTTCACTAAACATTTTTCGTGCCCTCATATTTCATCATTCTACTCTGTCCTTATCACCTATTCTT